ACTTCAGGGCTGCTGCTCTATCCACTGTGCCACCTAGCTGCCCCTAGAGACCTGTATTCTAATCTGATATTAGGCACTAGCAATAAGAATAGCATCAGTTCCTTTGTTACTTACTGGCTGTATGAACTTGAGCAAGTCACAGTCTTTCTAAGCCTGTTTCCTCATCTGAAAGAAGAGAAAATTAAACTAGATGGACTCTGAGGTCCCTTCCAGCTCTGGATCTAGGATCCTATGGTGTTATAAGGCTTAAAAATCACCTTTGTCCCAGTAACTGGCCAAGGGGTAGGTAACACCAACGAGCACCCAATTCTCTTCATTTTATAAGGGAGAAAACAGATTCAGAGAAGTTAGGCGATTTGCACTTGGTCATATTGAGTAAGTCACAGAATAACAGAATCTGATCGTTGGAAGAGAGCCCGGTGACCATCGAGGGTCATCCATGAAAGGATTCTCCACCATAATGTCACTGAGAAGGGGTTCTCCAGCCTCTACTTGAAGACGTCCAGTGCGGGAGAACCCACCCATCGCCTCTCAAGACAAGGCATAGCACTTTTGGACAGCTCAGACTGTGGGGAATGATTTTTTCCCCATCATCCTCTAAATTGGTTTCTTTGCCACCCCCATTCAGCTACCAAAGTCATCTTCCCAAAGGGCTGACCAAGTCGCCCACCTAGTAAACAAACTCCGGAGGCCCCCTACCCTCTCCAGGATCAGATAGAAAATCCTTTGTTTGGCTTCGAAAGTCCTTCATACCTGCCCTCGCTTCTGCCTTTTCAGTCTTCTTATATTTTCTCCCCTCCATTTAAACACTCTGTGATCCAGGCTCTCGGCTTTTTCTCAAACCAGACACTCAATCTCCAACTCTGTGCATTTTTACTGGCTGTCCCTCGTGCCTGGAAGGCTCTCCTTCCCCATCTCTGCCTCCTGGCTTCCCTGCCTTCCTTCAAGTCTCAGTTAAAGCCTCTCCTTCTTCAAGAAGACTTTCCCAATGCCCCTTAAAGCTTACGCCTCCCCTCTGAGATCACTGCCGATTTACCTCGTATGTATCTCAAATGCACAGAGTTATTCTCATGTTGCCTCCCCTATTGAAATGTGAGCTCCTTTCTTTTTGTCTTCCGAGCTTAGCACAGTGCCTGGCACACAGCAATAATCATAACTATTATTATAGCTAACATTTAGAGAGCTTTAGGGTATATGTTAGCTCACTTGATTCTCCCATTAAGTCATTGATTCCGACTTCCTCTTACAGCCCTGGTTCTGTGCGGTGGCCAGGCAAGCGTCCAGCTCAGGCCTCCTGACTCCACATCCCAGGCTTTTCCCACCCCCCAGCACTTCCTCTCAAACTAACTGTGTGACCTTGGGCGAGAAGACGTTCATTAACATTAGCATTTAGCGGCGCTTCTGCTCTCTTATTGTGGGTACTAACGAAATGCCACCTTTGTAAATATGTTCATTCCACTTGCTTCGTCAGATATGAGACCTGGGATTATTCTCTTTGAGCTACTGCTCCCCTTAGTGCCGTTGCTGATGAAACCCTGATGTTCTACCTCTGAGAACAGCTCCCCAGAATTATGACTGTTACCCCTGGAAAGTTCGTGCCAAAGGACACATGATGCTTTTTGACTCAAGCGGATTTTATTATGCAGCATTCAAATAATTGCATGGAATCACTAGTGCCCTCCCTCCCAAACTGCTTTATGTTTAACTACTTTGTATATGTGTTCATTGATTTTATACCTGTTCTATATATACTTAGATATGTGCTACTTTTCTCCTCCGTGAGAATGTAAACTTATAGAGAGTAGTGGTTGTTTCATTCTTTGTACTTATATCCCTAGTGACTGGCACATAGTAGTGCTTAATAAATACTTGTTAATTGGTTGATTGTGTGATTAGTTGTGGGACTTGAAGGCAAAAGTCCTGCTACAATGGACATATGCCCCAAGGGAGTCAGACAGTGTCTTTGTGTGAGACAGATGGCATAGTGGATAGAGTGCTCTTCTTGAAATCATGAGCACTTGAATTCAAATCCTGCCTTGGAAACTTACTAGCTGAGTGACAATAGGCAAGCCTTTTCAGCCCATCGACCTCATTTTCCTCATCTGCAAAATCAGAAGGTTGGATTTGACTACCTTTCAGGTCCCTTCCAACTCAAAATCTATGATCCTTCAATAAATGTTACATATTCACCAACATATTTGTCAGAACGCTTTATATACCAGCAAGGAAGTGAAAATAGAGCAGATTCTCATTCACTGAGGAACGGCTAAACAAACAGCGGTCCATGAATATAACCAAATATAAGAAACAATGAACCTAAATAATTTCAAAAAGCACTAGAAGACATGTACGAACTCATGTGCTGATGCAGAGGGAAGTGAAAACCAACAAAAAACATTGTACCCAATAACTACAATGATGGAAATGGAAAGAATAAACAAAGATAACAACTGCATGCTACATTGTTATGATGACCCTGTTTAACTCCCCAAAAGAGATTGGAAAACACAACTCCCTTCTTTATTTGCATACATGCAAATATGGGTGTGGGGCATTGCATACACTGTCATACTTGGTTGATATGTTGGTTAATTTTGCTGAACTAACAAGTGATAGCTACAAGGGATGGTTCTCTGGGTCGGGGGGGAAAGAGGGATAGGTAGATAGGTAGATATGAATGGATGGATAGATGGATAGAGAGACATAGGGAAGGGGAGGGAGAAAAAGACAGAGACAGAGAGACAGAGAGACAAAGAGGAATGAAATTGGAGAGGGTAGTCAGCAAGGAAATTTTGGATCTAGATATCAACGAGAGGGGTCAATATGGTAAGGGAATATGGATATAGGAATATAGAATTGAGGCAATGATTTTTTAAAAAATGTATTGATGTCTTTTTTTTACATCATCCTCATTTCCAGATATTTCTTTCCTCCTTCTGCCTCAAAAGAGCCATAGTAACAAAGAATAAATAATAATAAAAATAAAAAGATGAAGAAAAAGAGGTCAGCAAAACTAACAAGCATATCCCATTTCGTGTTGCTGGCCCCTCACCTCTGAAAGGAAGAGAGGGAAGTGCATATTTTGAAATATTACTGAAAAAGAAGCCATCCTCCAGAAAAGATAATAGAAAAAATAATAATAAAAACTGGGTTTCTAAAAGTTAAATTTTTTCAATTCCTGAAGATCAATTTCCAGGTACTATGTTACTGTAGTCTTACTACAAATCTATGAGAGAAAGACTGTAGGTATTATCCCCATTTTACAAATGAAAATGAGGCTTTAGGAAAGGTTAAACAATTTGCCCATGATCACACAGGTGTTGACTACCAGGCAGTAATCTGGATTTAATTTTAACATCCTATTTTCTAGTCAAGGCTCAGGAAGGGATTGAAAAGACTCAGGTCCTAGGTGATGGATTCATTAGGGCCCCATACATAAGGAGAGATGAGAGATTGATGGTAGGCTAGATAGCTATGAAGGACCAGAATTTAAGAATATTTCAAAGAATCAAGCTAAGTAAATTGACACAATTCATTTTTTGTTATTCATAAGGCGAGGAGAATAGAGATTGGATGAAAATGTTCATTTCAAAGTAAAATTATAATGAAACTTTTGCGTCAATTGACATGCCTGGACCTCCTAGTGTTAATGAATCTCTCCCCATATTGCACCAACCCCCAAGCAGACATGGATTTTCTTTAAAGACAGAATCCCAGCTATCCAGGGACAGGAATGTCCTGTCCCATAATATTTTAATACAACTGTTAGGGTTTCCTATCTCATAGCCACATAGTTTTATTGATCCTAGGGCTGCTAGTTTGAGTAAAATCCAAGAGGCAGATATGGGCAAAGTATTTGCCCAAGTAAGAATATCATACCTACCACTGTGTGTAATTTCCTTCCTTAATTCTTGCTGTGAATACTGCCTGCATTCAGAAGACAGGGAGAAGGAAAGGGATGCTTCCAAATACTCTAACCTGAATAATTGGACCCACACGTGCTAAGATGCATTTCCCCCCATTAGAAGTCCTTGAATGCACAAACTGTCTTTGTTTGTATGTATCTGTATCCTCTGCACTTAGCATAATGCTTGTCATGTGGTCAACATTTAATAAATTCTTGTTGACTTGAGTTTCCTGATTCCCCCATGTTACGTGTACGGTGTCCTTGAAATTATTCTATTTATTAGTCTTATATTTAAACTTGCTGTTTTCTCCCTGGTAGAATGTAAGTTTCTTACTTTTTTTTTTTTTGAGGCAACTGGGGTTAAGTGACTTGCCCAAAGTCACACAGCTATCAAGTGTCTGGAGCTGAATTTGAACTCAGGTCCTCCTGACTCCAGGGCCAGTGCTCGGTCAGAATGAAAGTTTCTTGACAGCAGGGACTTGGCACAGTGCTTGGCACTTATTTCTTGTTCCATAGATTTAGACTTGGAAGGGACCTCGAAGATTTTCTAGCCCAATGCTCTCAGTATATAGATGAAGAAACTTTGACCAGAAAGATGACGTTACTGGTCTAAGATCACAAGTGAGTGAGGAGCCAAGCTAGGGCTCCTGGCTCCACACTCTGGTCTATCTGTCCAGGGCAGCACCCTGCAGGAGGCTCTCAGATGCTTGTCGAAGTGAGTGTCATCCTCCAATTCAACGGGTGACTTGCCTTGGGGGAAAGTCAGTTGATTTTGTTGCTCTAGAGTTGGGTTTCAGAAATCGAACAGTGAATTCAGCTGTCGAAGTGTCCTTTGGTTGTCTGAATTGGCCTCATTTTTGCTTGCTGTCCTATGGAAATGGTCTTCTAATGAGTGAGGACTTGACTGCCAGAGAGCTTTGTGTTCGTTCAGGGCTGTTGGGATGCACTGACCCTCCTGAGTCAGCATTGTCAAGTTGGAAGTCTACAATCAGCCCATTCATTCCTTACAGAAAACCTACTCTTTCCACTTGTCAGCCCCAAAGAATCACCCTCTGATTTTCATTCTTTAATTCCACTTTATTGGTGTTATTGCTTAGGGATTTCCAGAAAGAAGGATGCAACCTGTGAAAAGCGCTGCTGGAGGAAAGATGGTTTTTTGCCTAATCCTAAGACCCTGTTTACATAGATGATCCCAAATGTAAACTTCCAAGGCAGTAACGGAATGGTCCAAAGGGTGTCTGGGTAACAGATAGCACAGTCTAAATGAGATCCATTAACTCACCTTTCCTCTGGGGTAATAGATCACCAGCCCTCCCCTTCAGGTGCCTTTCATTTGTTTGATCTAGATATGCAAATCTTCAAACCCAATGAGCCTTAGCAAGGAACACAAGAAAAATAACAAAAATGTGTCAGTCATGTTTCCAGAACTCTGTTATACTCACACCCACCCACCCACATACATACTCAGGCACTTGTGCACACACACACACATACACACGCATGCCCAATGCTAGGTGCTACTGATAGAAAGACAAAAAGGAAATATTCCCTGACCCCAGTGCAGAAAAAAATCATGGGGGAAAAGAGTTTAGTGATGGGAAAGAAGAAGAGGGGGGGTTGAGAGAGGCCTCTCTGGGACTTACAGAACAGTCTTGGACAAATCACTGCACTTCACAAATCTCTTGTCCACAAGTCACATTCCCGGCCTCAGTTTCTTCATCTGTAAAATGAGGGGTTTGGATTAGGGGGCCTCCAAGGCCTCTTCTAGCTCTAAAGCTATGATCCTACAAACATGTATACAGATGAATCAATACCAAATACATGCACAGCAAAAAACAAAGTAAGACTGTTGAGGTGGAGGGTGCTGGCTGTTAAGGCCTGGTGGAGAAGATGGCAAAGTCTTAAGATGGGTCAGGAAAGAAGCTAGGGTCCCCACGAGACAGAGGGGAGGAAGGAGAGCAGTATAGGCATGGGGGACCGGCTGAACAAAGGCTGAGAGATACTGAGGGAAGGGTGAATACGGGCAACAGTAGGCTAGGGAGTGAGGCTCTTTGGCTGTAAATCTTGGAACACCGTGATTCCTGAGAAAGCAAAACTGCAAATGACCCAAATGGCTGATTTGCACATGTCACCCTCACCAGTCAGTCAATGGACGTTTATTAAGCACCTTCTATGTGCCAGGCACTGAGCTAAGGCTGGGGATACAAACAAAGGCAAAAGATGGTCCCTGCCCTCAGGGAGCTTACAGACTAGTAGAGGAAACAACCCATAAAAGGTACCTGGAATAGGGACATGTTATAGCTATGCATGAAGGTTGTGTCCGGGGCCCCTCCTTCAGCACAGGATGCAGGAGGAAGTGCCTTTGCCCAGCCTCTGCCCTCTCCTGCTCGAGGGAGGGAGGGACCTGGGATAGAGGTGCTGAGGAGAGGTCACCTTCAGAGTTGATTTGATTTTGATGAGTTTCTGGAGTTGATGATGAAGCCCAGGAGAGCAGCCTGCTGGGAGCGGATACCATTGGATGGTGAGCTCCTGGAGAGAAGGGATTTTTTTTTTTTGCCTTTATTTCAGACCAGAATCAGTACTTGAACATGCTTTGAAGTCCATGTGGGGAGAACACTGAGAATGCTCAGAACTGGGGTTTGGTGACTGGTCCTTTTTCCACTGGGGAAAAAAATAGCATCAGTTGCAATAGGCCTTATCATCTCACCTGTATTTTAAAGAAACTCTTGTATCATCAAATTTAAGAAGATGAAGTCATTTCAGATGACAAATGTATTTATTAGCTAATCTCCAATCAAGTGGCAGACCCAAGGTCCCAGCCTAGGCCTTCTAATTCCCAGCTGAGCGCTCTAACTGTTGACTGAAGAAGCTCACTGAGAAGACATTTCAATATATCCCTTTAGAGAGTCCTAGTTGCTTAGCATATCATAGGATCATAGATCTTACAATGAAAGGGACCTTAGAGGACATCTGATCTATCTCTTCATTTTACAGCTGAAGAAACTGAGGCCAGGCTTAGAACATAGGCAGTGTCAGAGGTGGGATTTGATCCGGGGTCTTCTTGACTTCAAAGTCAATGATCTTCCCCACTTAACACATAAAGTGCTCTCTTTCTAATTCTCCTGCAGGAAACCCATTTGCAGAAAATACTTGGGTTCTTTGCTCACTAGAAAACTGCCCTCCCATAGGCTGACCACAGAGGAGTCCACCCACCACACTGGAGGCCACCCTCATCTTCTCTTGAAATTATTCTAGGATCCTAGTGGAATGCTCAGGCCATCTGATTATTCTTTACTCTTGCCTCTGGACCTGCCCCATTTTATTTTTTTCAATCTCACATTTCTTTGATGATATCATCTGTTTTTCTTGATTATTCCTTATCTGTAATGTTTTGCACTCTACCTCTTACTTCTCCACTGACTTCTGAATCATACTGATTTTAAATTGTTCAAAGACCACAGTTTTCCATGACTTGTAGCTATCCATCAATGCCAGGGGAATTGAGGATTTAAAGGATGAGCTTTTATACCTGAGAAAAATTGGGGGAAGACCATTAAAAGAGTTTGACAATTTCCTAGGAGCAACCCATGCCCCACTCCTCCCCTTAAATAACTCTAGGGTCTGCCTAAGATATCGACGTGTTGCTGAGTGAGCTTTACAAGCCATCCACATATCTGCATGTACTAGCCTGGATAATAGGTATTCTCCATCAATTTGGGTTTCCCACCAGTCTTTTGAATAGTAATACTGCCTCAAATCTTGTGTGACCCTGGTTAAATCACCTCATCTCTCTCATCATTCATTTCTTCATCTATAAAATTAAGATAATAACAGCACCTCCCTCACAGGACATTGTGGGGATCAAATGAGATCATGTATGTTAAGTGCTTTGCCAACCTCAAGGTACTGGTTGAATAATGGCTCCTGGTGTGGCCCTCATCCCTGCAGCACTGTGGGGCTGGGTGTGGCCAGTGTGATGTCATGGCCACCAGAAGCAGCTGGAGGGTGTCACCATCTCTAGGGAATCTCTCTTCAGCCAGAGTAGGCTTCTTAACCTGGGGTTCCTGTACTTGTTTCTTTAATACTTTAATAACCATATTTCAGTATAATTGATTTCCTTTGTATTCTTATATATTTTATCTTATGAATTTAAAAGCATTTTTCTGAGATTGCTAAAGAAATCCAGGATACCAAAAAAAAAAAAAAGGTTAAGAACCCCTGAAATGTGGGGAATCCCAACTTGAGGTATTGGCTTCTCTAAAGACTGCCAATGTTTCCTGTTGCCCCAAACTGCCTTATGTTTATGTACTTTTGGTATGTATTTATAGACTGTATACACATTACCTTCGCCAGTGGAATGTAAGCTCCTTGAGGGCAGGAGCTATTTATTTGTTTGCTTTTTCTTTGTATGCGCAACAGCTAGCACGCTGCCTGGCACATAGTAGGCACTAAGTTGACACTTACTGACTGATTGATTTCACCTACATACCATCCTCTGGGTCTCTTCCCAGGCAGTGGTGAACACCTTCGGCTAGCATACTTTCCCCTTCTCACTAGATGTTAATCATCAAAGGGCTCTTTAAAACAGTCGTTTCTGTCATTTTATCTTTCAAAGAATCTTATGTAATCTTCACATAAACATGGGAGGAAAACCTTTTTGCTTTCTTAAAATATAGCCGCACATGTTAAACACAACAGGATATTGTATTCACTACATCTTTCAGTTAGTCATATGATGGTAATTATATTATCTACCGCGGGATATTGTTTGCCAAAGCCTACCTGCTCCCTGCTAACACTGTCATCAAGGATGCTGTTGATGGGTGTGTAGATCATTGTCATAAGAATGTCCACTTGGAGGAACAAGGGGCTATATAGATTGGTAGATGGGGGTGTCCATTCTTGCTCATCTTTTTTTTTTAATCATAAAGTCTGAGACATTTCTCTACATTTTTGGTACCTTTAGATAGATTGTGAATGAATGCTTCAGTGCTCTCTCAACTGTGCTACCTCCAGCATGGATCTCCTTTATATAATTATGGGCCCATATGGCAACTTTCCCCATCTTTGTTCTCTTTGATGCCATTTCTAACTCCTAGAGCCACATCCAGGGCTGCCATGGTAGACTCCAAATGTGGGCCACTAGCCTTGTTGATGAAGAGAGTTTACTATAAAAATCTTTGTAGATCCTTTCCATCTTCATCTTTTTAGATGGCCTCTTCCCAATTTCATCTTTAAATACACTCAGTTGGGTTTCTATGAACTAGTTTCCTGTTTCTGTTTTATGAGGTGAAACGACTCATAATCTTCCACTATCATTCTCTATAAAATTTTACAAACAAGTTAATATTCTAAATCTATGTTGACCTTGGATGGCTTTTTTTTTTTTGCTTCTAAGTAAATGAAGTCTTTGCTGATTAAGGTATTTTAGGCTCTTTTGTCCTCATCTTGATGTTTGATTTACAGGAGTTAAAGTTTCACGTGAAATTTTGTAATTTTGATCTGCATCCCTTCTTCCATCTATATCCCATTTTTTAGCATCAATAACTCATTGAAATTTAAGTAGGTCAGGTTGGCAACATTTTAATTTCATGCTTTTCTCATTCCTTTGCTTTCTTCTAGCTCTGTACTAATTTTGATCTTTGTTCTAACAAATCTGCAGATGGGGCTGAATTCAAGTTCCTAATAACATTTCTCAGGCTGAGATGTGAGCAAGTCCATTGTTTAAAAAGGAAACATTTGCACTTCAAGTATGGGAAATCACCAAACAATTAACTTCCGTGGAACATGTCTGCTCCGGGTCAAGTGAGTTTCTTTGTTTCATGTCAGGCTATTGAGGAAATGTTTTGTAGGCACGGATCCTGGCTGTAATGTCACCATGGAATCCTTTCAAATAAATGGAATCAGCTGTGAGACATCAGCCGTCATATTTATATTTATATCCGTGTCCAAACTCTTTTTAAGGTGGCCGGTGCAGTCCTAATCACCACAACCAGTCATTTGGTTCAGTACTCATCATGGGGCAGGCAGGGGAGCTTGGCTGGAGCAGTGGGGCACCCTGAGAAAGAGATGGGAGGCAGCAAGTACCAGGCAAGTCAGACCACTACTGCCACCTGGATCACCACCCCCCCAGGCCCCGGTGCAGACAGCCCAGGACTCTGAATCCAAGAGCTTTGGGAATAGCAGTGCCCCCCAGTCCATAAGACCTGCTTCCAGCCCAGCCCCCCTAGCCATCACTGAGCGGGGAGGTCATGGTGGGAAGGGGGCCCACCTTCCTCATTACCAGCAACAATTGCTGACCAAGTGTCAGCAACAAGTAAATGGGCACAGGAGCCCTGGGAGTGACAGCCCCCTGACACCACCAGTCTTAATTCAATCCCAGACTTCACAGCCATCGTTCGGGGAAGCTACTGCTGTGGAGAAGGATCCAGTGAAGCCCACCAACTGCCACCCCCAGGGTAGGCAGGCCAGCCTATCTGAAACATCAAGGCACCGAGGGGGAGGCCCGAGGCAGCATGTGCCAGCCAAGTCAGACCACTACTACCACTGTCTACATATCTGTCCTCAGACCCTGATGGAAACAGCCCAGGCCCCTGAACCCAAGAGTCTTGGGAATAAGTGATGCTTCCAGCCCAGTGCCCTCAGCCTTCATCCTGGGAAACAGCCCCCACGGAGATGCTGCCTGGTCCCTGCTCCTGCAGAGGCTGCAGCCACAGCTACCAAAATCCAGAGAGGAAAGCTCTTGACCCCAAAGTCCTTGGCCCTGTCCAATGGTTTGGCCTCAGAAACTGATGATTTTATCAGTAGAAATGACTTTAAAGAAGAGGCCTGACGTCTGCTTTGCTGCTGCCCCAAAGGACTATGGGACTTCTCCATCTGATTTGCAGCTGAAACCTTCCCATGGTGTGGTCTCCCCAGTTAGAAAGTGAACTCCCTGAGGGCAGGGACTGCCTGACTTCTCTTTTTGTATCCCCAGCTCTCAGTACCATCCTTGGCACATACTAAGTACTCAATAAATACTTTTTCATTCATTCATTCATTCCTCTGCTCATCCTCTTTCATTTCAAATATAATTTTCTCTTTTGGACATTTAAAGCCCTTTGCACCCTAGACCCACCTTACCTCTCCAGCCTCTGTCCAGCCATAAGGGCCTTGCGGGCTGTTTCTCACACAGGACACTCCCTCTCTGGTCTCTTGTCCTACAAACTGGCTGTTCCCCATGCCTAGAATGTCCTTCCTCTTTATTCCTGACTCTTCTAATTCCTTCTTTCCTTCAAAACTCAGCTCAAGGGTGACATTTTACATAGTCTCTCCTGATCCTCATGGCTGCTAGTGCACCCCCCCCCACATTAACTTGCATTTATTTTGTATATACTTACATTGGAGAGGCTGAATTTGCCTGCAGGGGCCATTCCAGGGACTATGCAGAGCTTCCTTGGAAACTTCTGGGACTCTGAGGACATGGTGACTCATTGCTTGGGCCTTTTGGAAATGACTAACTTCCTGGCTGCCATCTGCCATGTGAAAGGATTTGCTGTTTTGATATGAAGGGCTAACTCCTGAGTGGTCCCTTGGTCACCCCTCCTCTCCACCCAACTCACACCTAGAGGCAGAGGGGTGAGGTCCTGTGTCATTTGGAAGAAGAGAGTGTCTCCTTCCTCACCTCCATTTTCTGGTTTCCTAGACTCTATTCAAGACTTATGTAAAATTGGGGCAACTAGGTGATGCAGTGGGTAGAGCACAGGCCCTGGAGTTAGGAGGACATGAGTTCAAATCAAGCCCCAAACACTTACTAGCTATGTGACCCTGGGCAAGTCACTTAACCCCAATTCCTCAAAAAAAAAAAAGACAGCTAAAATTCTACTTTCTGCAATAAGCCTCTCTCATTTTAATGCTGATGTTTTCCCCCTGAAATTACCTCCTATTAGTCTGTGTATATCTTACATGCACAAGGCTGTTTGCATATTGCCTCCCCCATTATACTGTGAGCTCCCTGTTTTTGCCTTTTTCATTGCTCAAAACATTCAAATCCAAAGGTAGTGAGGAACACGTGTAGAAAACCCATGTGGCAAAGAGGCCAAAGGTTCCTGAAAGTCCCTTCCCACTTCTTAGAGTCCTTAGGAAGTTACCTGGAAGTGTAGCCCTCTGCCAGCCTCTGAGGCTCTACATGCCAGGATAGGATAAAGTGGTACCCAAGCCTATTTGTCTCTCTCTGCCATGAAGAGCTGTGTTCCCTGAAGCTGCCTTTTTTGGGGGGATAATCACGCTCAGCTGGATGTCCTATATCCAACTGGTCCAGTCCCTCCAGCAACATGGCCAAAGATAGGAGGAGGAAAGAAAGAGACAGAGGGACACTCTCCTTCCCCTTCTGTCTCCCTCATTCTCTCTCAGGGGCGTGGCTCTGTCTCTCTCACTGGAATCTTTAACACTACAGCTAGGTCCCAATTAATGTGAAATATTAAACCCCCGAAGTGGTCACATGTAATCAAATTCACACTATTCAAAGTTCCTTGTTGAGTCATTTCAGTCCTGTCTGACTCTCTGTGACTCCATTTATGGTATTCTTGGCAGAGATACTGGAGTGGTTTGCCTTTTCCTTCTTTTGCACATTTTACAGATAAAGAAACTGAGGCAAACAGGGTTAAGTGACTTGCCCAGGGTCACACAGCTAGAAAATGTCTGAGGCCAGATTTGAACTCAGGGAGATGAGTCTTCTGACTCCAGGCCTGATGCTGTACGCACTGTGGCTTCCCCTAATAGCCCCTTATTCAAAGTTAGAATTAGGTACACTAGGGTCATTAGGCCCAGCCCAGTGGAAAATAGGCAGTGTGACCACATGGAGGGATTCATTATCTGTGCCAGCTGACTCAGCTGTCAGAACTGTTCCATCACCAGGCAAGGCCACTGCTTGACTTACAAATTCAGAACTAGCTTGTTTGTGTTCCATAGACCTTTCTTACCTAGCCTTAATCACTGAATGAGCGCGGCCTCAATCAAACTGAAACCTTTCAGAAACCTCAGCTCGAAAAGGCCTGCGCCATCCCAGTGGTCCTGATCCATATCTGGCCACTGGACCCAGATGGCTCCAGAGGAGACAGTGAGGCTACCCTGCCTCACTTAAATCCAATTCACTTGCATGTCGTGGTATCACCTTCCTGATGTCATGGGCCCCTTCAACAGCAAAGGACAAACAACAGCGATATAGCCCAAGAGATGTAATTTGGTCTCCTTAATTGATTATAAGATGTTTCCTGTGAAGCATCATCTGCTTTTCTTTCAATAACCAAACCCTTTCATTCTCTCTCAAAGTATCAACTTATTTACCCTTGCTATACCCTTTCATTCAATCAAGATGTGATTGTATGTATGTGGTTACATTAATGAACACCTTCCCCCTTAGACTTGGAATGCCAAGGCTTTTATTTTCCTGTTGCATTGCTAAACTATTATTTTTAGTCCAGCTCAAATTGTGCCTATTTCATGATCCCTTTCACCTCTAGACTTCATATAACACTCTCTATTGTTTTGTAATTACAAAATATCATGCATTCTAGTTATTGGTATCTATTTTATTTTTTATTTCTTTAGCCAGGCAATGGGGTTATGTGACTTGCCCAGGGTCACACAGCTAGTAAGTGTTATGTGTCTGAGGTCAGGTTTGAACTCAGGTCCTCCTGATCCAGGGCTGCTGCTCTATCCACTGCGCCACCTAGCTACCCTTGGTATTGGTATCTTATCTCTTTAGTAGACTTTAAGTTTGATGGGATCAGGGAACGTGTCCCTGGGTGCCAAGCACAGTTCTGTACACTGAAGGTGCTAATAGATGCTTCCATGTATAATGTAAACATTTTTTAATTTATATAGAAAAGAGGAAAGAAAAATAAAAGGGCCCAGCCCTGAAGGGCCTGAGCTTAGGTTCATATTCTAGCTGCTAGTACCACTCTTCAAAGATTGTTCAGTTATTCAGTCATGTTGACTCTTTGTGACCCCATGGACCTTAGCACGCCAGGCCCTTCTATCCTTCACTATCTTTCTAAGTCTGTCCAAGTTCACATTCATTGTTTCTATGATGCTATCCATCCATCTCATCCTCTGCCATCCATCCCCTTTTCTTTTACCTTCCATCTTTCCAACATCAGGGTCTTTTCCAATGAGTCCCATCTTCCCGTTATGTGGCCAAAGTATTTAAGCTTCAGCTTCAGTATTTGACCTTCCAATGAATAGCCTGAATTAATTTCTTTAAGTGTTGACCTATTTGATCTCCTTACTGTCCAAGGGACTCTGAAAAGTCTTTTCCAGCACAATTCAAAAGCCTCAATTCTGCAGTGCTTTGTTTTCCTTATAGTCCAACTCTCACAGCCATATATCACTACTGGAAAAACCATAGCTGTGACTATGTGGACCTTTGTTGGCAAGGGGAGGTCTCTGCTTTTTAGTCTGCTGTCCAGATTTGCCATAGCTTTCCTTCCAAGGAGCAAGTGTCTTGTTATTTCCTGAAGCTGCAGTTGCCGTCTGCACTGAACTTCGAGCCCAAGAATATAAAATCTCACACTGTTTACCAGGAAGTGATGGGACCAGTTGCCAAGATCTTTGTTTTTCTGATTCGAAGCTGCAAGCCAGCTTTTATACTCTCCTCTTTCAGCGTCATCTAGAGGCTTCCTAATTCCTCTTTACTTTCTGCCATCATACGCTTACAGATGTACTTGTCTACTCTCAACAGAACATAATAAGCTCCTTGAGGGCAGGGGCTGTTTCATTTCTGTCTTCAGTATCCTCATCTCCTAGCCTAGGGCCCAGCACTAGTAGGTGCTTAATAAATGCCTGATTCATTTAACAAACCAGTTAAAGAATATATTGCTCTTGTTTGTGGCCTTTTTATTTATTTCCTCTTCCCCTGAAATGGTAACTAGCATTTATACAGCTCTCAGGGCTGGGAAGCCTTTACCTGTGTTAACTCATTTGATCCTCTCAAATTAATTAAAGACCGATTCACTCCTAGTTTATGTTTTTGAGGCAGCTCAGATAGAGTTCTAGACTTGGAGTCAGGAAGCCCTGAGTTTGGGTTTGAACCTGGCCTCGGACACGTCCTAGCTCTGTCACCCTGGGCAAGTCACTTAACCGCTCCCAGACTCAGTTTCCCCATTTGTAAAATGGGGATAATAATAGCACCTACCTCCCAGAGTTGTTGTGAGGATCCAAGGTGGTAATGTACTTTGTTAGCTATAGAAATACCAACTCTTATCTTTATTGCTATTCTCATTACTGTCAATTCAATCAAGGCGTGATTACATTTGTGTGATTAAGGAAGCATACCAAACAACTGAATCAAAGTTCTTTTTTTGCCAGAGGAATAAGTATAGCTTAAAGCAGTTCCGAATATCACTCTCCCCCCACACCCCCCACCTCCTTTTTTTTTGTCATTATTTTTGACGATGCTATTGCATTACTCCCACTCAAAAGCAAGGAAAGAAAAGCAAGCCAACTTCCCCATCCCCCTCTGGAGACAAACAGGAAGAAGCCAATCATCTTCAGCTGCAGCAGTAGGAATGCCAGGAAGAGTTTTGAAACACGCTTTTACTGTCTGGGGGCAGGGCCTTCTATTTACTTCATTTGATTTTTCTGATATTCTGCCCTTGCAGAATGCTAATGGTGTTTGGGCCAGCTTCACCAAATTCAGTTCTAAGTCGGTTCCTTGGAAGACTTCAGGGTTCCTCACAAGTGGTTTTGAACAACTGGAAATGAAAGGAGAAGGGAGGCTTTCTGCCTCTCTTCCCAGTGGGATAGAAGGATTTCTGTTTTCCTTCAGAATGGAAGCTAGAGACAGACTGACGCCATGACCCCTGCTAATGCCACGTTAAATCCAATTCCTAATTGGTAGTCTTTTTTTTTAAATAATATTTTATTTTTCCCAATTACATGTAAAAACAATTTTTAACATTGATTTTTTAAAAATATTGAGTTCCAAACTCTCTTCCTTCCTTCCTCTCCTCCCCCTCCCTGAAGTGGTGAGCAATTTGATATAGGTTATTACATGTGCAATCATGCAAAGCATATTTCCACATTAGTCATGTTGCAAAGAAGACAGACCCCCTCCAAAAAAACCATGAAAAAATGAAGTAAAAAATCATATATTTTGATCTGCATTCAGACTCCACCAGTTCTTTCTCTGGAGGTGGATAGCACTTTTCATCATAAGTCCTTCAGAATTGTCTTAGGTCGTTGTATTGCTGAGAAGAACTGTCATTCACAATTGATCATTGTACAATGTTACTGTTACTGTTACTGTGTACAATGTTCTCCTGGTTCTGCTCCCTTCACTTTGCATCAGTTCACGTAAGTCCTTCCAGGTTTTTCTGAAGTCTGCCTGCTCATCATTTCTTACAGCATAATAGTATTCCATTACATTCATGTACCACAACTTGTTCAGCCATTC